CCCATTAGTTATTAGTGACATTTACAAAAATAATTATCTCCCTTATATGGTTGTGTTAACAGTTGAAAGTTCTATTTTAGCTGTTTTCTATGAAACTAGCAGAATGGCATCTTAATTTCTACAAACCAGGTTGTCTTAACCTTGCCAAACAGAGCAAACTCATTTGCATTTTTGTGAACAAAATAAGCACGTATGTTGTTCAGAGCAGCAGTGTGGGTGGTTCTGTCCACTTTTATTTTCTTCTCCGTAACAGGAAGCTTCCATGGTTCTGAGTCACCACCTTGGTGCCCTTTCCTAAGCAGAATGACAGTTGGGTAGATGACTCTAAATCAGTTATCACTTGACCTGATGGTTCACAGCTGACAGACCAATGATTGAATCCCAGCTCTATCCCATACGGGGAGCCAGAATAACCTTGGGACAATCTCATCACCTCTCTGAGCTCAGGATTTTTCATTTATGAAATGAGGTTAATAACAGTATCACACCTGTCGTATAATAAATACTCAGTAATGTTAGCTGACGCTGTTCAACACACACGTTTTCCTTCTAACCTCATGGAATTCTGTGACAGACTTAAGACTAAGGTTATTTGAAAGAATCAATTACAGATTTATGTGTAAAGTGCTTACTACTTGCCAGCCCTGGGAACATGAAGAGAGAAAAAAATAGTTCCTGTCTTTGAAACTTGCAATCCAGCGGAGAAGACAGATGGGTAAGCAGATCACTGCAATAAAGTAGTTCATGACGTGGAAGTAGAACAAAGGAATGATTCATCTTAGTAGAGCGGCTCTGAGAAAACAAAGAGGAAGAAGAATTTACTTGAGAGGCTGAAGGATGGGGAGGGGCTCACTAGGTGACTGAAACAAGGACACCTGAGGCAGAAGGACCAGCTCGTGCACGGGGCTGGTAGCACAACAGGGTGGGATGTAAGGGGACCATAAGTCACGCAGTGTAACACGGTCCGTAGACAGCATTGCGTATCGGGGAGTAACAGGAGAAGCCCCTTGTGCCACGTGAAATACCAAGGGGGTGACATTGAAGGACTTTAAGCCTGACTGATATCCAATTTGCTGACGTTTATTGACAGGTTTTTTTGTTTTAGGGAAGTCTCCCATATCTTTATTCCAGGTAAGCAGAGAAAACAAGAGGATAACAAAGGCAGAAAGCTAAACTGCAGTCTTCAGAATCCTGCTTTTAGCATGAAACATGCTTTGATAGATATATTTACATAATAAGTATATTTAAAAACACACTGTAGGTGAAAGAATTCACTTGGTACAGTGAAAAACAGGCATTGCTCCTGTATTTGAATGCTTTTTATCATCAGGGTTTCAATTTTACTACATACTGTCTTATAACGTGTTATTTAATTTTTAAACTAATATGTGGTGTGTATACAAACATAAATATAAATTAAACATGCGTACATAATATGTAATGTGTGTATTCAGATATGTGTATATATACACATATAAATATAAATTTATATCCATCACCTGTTTTGCATCCTGTAAGCTCTCTAACAGCAAGAGTTGTATATAGTATTTTTTTGCATACCCAACAGTAAATACTCCACAAAAATTGTGAAATATATAAATGTATGGATTGCAAACAATCACATAGTAAGCAGAGAATGTTCCTCTCTCTCAACCCTGCCATGTTTTCCCCTTGGTTTCTGCCGAGGGTTTCTTGTACTCTATTTTATATTTTCCATTATGACTACCTCCTTGCTGTCTAGAATTCTCATTACTGTGGGCTTGGAGAAGTGCAACCAGTTAGTAAACATAATAATGAAAATGATGTCGACTTTCATGGAGTGCCGACTATATTGTTACAGTTAGTTGTTTATTACTTTACGAGTTGTTAAGAATGTTTATTCATACAACATTCTTACAAGGAATTATTGTTCTATTTTTATAGTTTACATATCTCAACCCAGAGAGGTATGTAATTTATCCAAGATCACACAACTGATACGCTGTAGTAACTAAGTTACGAATCTCTGGTTCTCTGTCTCAGAAATTTCCTTAGTATACTAGTTCAGAGTTTACAGAACACTTGTATGCATTATTGCATCTAAACCTCACAACTTCTTGGTGTGGTATATAGTTGCCAGGCTTCACAGATGAAAGAACTGAGACTCAGAGAGAGGTACAGAGACTTCCTTATGACATAGAGTGGAAGGGCAGTAGAATGTGCATTCCATTGCAGGTTCCTTTTTAAAATTCATTCATTTATTCATTCATTCAGGTTCCTTTTAGCTACAGTATGGTTACTCCACAAAGCTCTTTTGGATAGGCTCCTTTACTACTGGGATGTTGTAGTCAACTCTCAGTATTTCTTTGAGTAAATCTTACTGGGAATAAGGTTTAAGGGGAAAAAATATGTTTGTTTTGTCAAAGCAAGAAGTTTATATTACGGTTAAATATTTTTAATAAAGACCTTTTTTACTTTAATAAACTCTTACTTCCCATTTAAACACCAATTCATTATAACCATCCACACAGCCCCTTGATGAGAAGCAAATTAAGTTGTTTGAAAACAAATTCAGTAAGCTGTGTTTTTCCTTGGACCAGTGGCAGCGGGAAGAGAAAGTGATTGTGCCAGGCTGTTGGCTGACTCGAGCTAATGGCATTCAGTCTTGTGAAATGGATATTAATGATTCTACAGTGTTTAGCTTGGTTTGCTCTTGATGGATTTTCCCCTTCTGAATTAATGTCTGTCTACTCTTGATTAATTTAGAGTGATAGTACTTCAAGTCAGTTAATTACATTTTCTTTCTAAAGTTAAATATCATTCATTGTGATGAAGGCAGTCATTTTGATTTCTCAGAAAAATATTCCCTAAGTCCCTTAAGTATAGATCCCACAAAGCTAGTAGGAAAAGTTCCTCATTCAGGAAGTTTCCACCAAAGCCAGAGAAGCCTTGTCATAAATCTAATTTAGAATCTTACCGTATACCTCCCAAGGCAGAGCTATTTTAGATATATGTGGTGGTGTCTCAAACCAGAAACTTTCCCTTGCTAATGTATAAAATATTTTTTAAATGCCCTGCAAATTTTTTGCTCCAGGACATGACAATGTAGGTGAAAGTGTTTTAAAATAATTTGAGGTTGTTCCTAGAGGAGAGAAAATAGGGTATTATAAGGAGAACACTGGATTTAAAGTAAGTAAAGTCTAGATCTTTCTTCTAATACTAATTGAATCTGTGATCTAACCTCTTCTATAAGTAAAACAGGCATTATTGTGTCTGCCCTCCTGATTTAAAAACTGTTGCAAGAACCGTGGGACCTTTGAAAGAATGTATCATTCAGTTTAAGTGTGCAATATTGTTATCACTGTTTTCCTGGACAGGAAATTAAGTGATGAGTTGTGAATGTGCCCTTGTTCCTTCCCCAGATCAGTTTATTTGGAGCAGTTTAGTAATCCCCAGCTCAGTCGTTCCACTGTTGGGCATGTTGTCAGACAAGACTCAAGTGATCTTAAGTTCACTGTCTATAAAGTATACATATTTTACCTTTAAAATTGTAACTGTTCTCTTGGAAGCACATTTTTATAGGATTTAAAACAAAAAATAAAACACTGATGTTCCAATGCCTGGCAAAACAGTACTGACCAATGATTTAGGACTTCGTATTTGGAGTCCTCTGACCTAGAATCGTATCAGAGGTTCTCTATTTTCATCTGGAAATCCTTGGGGAAGTTACCTAAACTGCCTTAATTTGCTAGGTCTGGTTCCTGATCTGTAAAATGTGGCTAGTAATGGCAACTCTCTTGTAGCACTGTTGAGAGGATTCAATAAAATCATGAATATAAAGGACCCAGCATAATTCCTCACCTCACATTTTGCTCAATGAACAATCATTCTGTCTTCATATACTGCGGTTTATTTTTGTAGGGAATTACTTTTCAGATAATATCAGTTGTTAAATGAATAAATTTACTCAGAGTTGTCTAAAAGCTGGTTCAGCCTCAGCACCCATTAGCACTGCTCACAAAGTAGCCGGAGGCATTGCCTTGCAGTCCTCACTCACTCTGAGGTGTCTGTGGGCTGCACATCCCACTTTTCCTGTTTGTTGTGTGCTTCAAACCTTGTGTCAGATCATCACCATCTACCTTCCATTGGAAAAAATAAATTTTTCCCCTTAGATGCCTGAGTACGTATAGCGCTGTGCTTGGTACTTTGCCTAATGTATCTCGTTTTATCTTTATAACCACCCTGAAATGCAAATACTAGTACAGTTTTGCAATTGGAGATAGTGAAAGTTAAGTCGTTACCCAGGGTCACATGGGCAGAGTTTGTATCCCAACCGAAGGGCTCTTTACTCCAACCCTGCACAATTGAACTTGATTGTGCATCTGAAAACAGTCATTTTCTTAAAGATACAGGTTATTGAGAGACAGCTATCTGGAAGGACGTCTACCCAAATATTAATTGGGATTTTGATATTTGGGAGGTAGGATTTCAAATAAAGTTTAGTTTCCTCCTTGTACTTTTAAAACATTTTAAATGCTTTTTCCAATGAGTGCATGTCTCTTCTTAGAAAATAGTATTTTTTAACTGACCAGTTGACCATGAGATTTCATCCCATTTCAGGTGATCCACAGGAACGGAAAAAGCTGTTCACTCAATTGAGGCTGGTTTTCAGGCTTACTGACTATCAAGCTGGACCAATAACTATTGTTCATGCAAATAGAATTCTGTTTTTAGAAGAGGTGACTCATTATAAAGCAACGTGATTTGTCTGTCCCCACAGTCTGAAAATAAATGTGGAGGGACAATAGAAAGAAGCCACAAGGCAAACACTTGTTTTGTCTTCAAACTTTGAAAGCTCTCTTGGCTGATATTAACAGTGGTTTTTTTGTTTTGTTTTGTTTTAACTGACAGAGGTTGCTTTGTAATTAACTTATACACCCAAAGATCTCTAGGGCCCCCAAACTGTGGGCTCTGTGAAAGCAGATGATGAAAATATGTGTCTTTTTTTTTCTTTCTGACAGTAAAGGCTCTCTGTGAGATGTCTCCAGTGCTCTCCTTCCAAGAAACTGCCCATTTCCAAATTTAGCCTACTGGGGAGCCGTGAAAAGAGAGTGGAATTCAGAGTCAGAAGACCCAGGTATGAGTCTTGGCTTTATCACTAATTAGTTGTGCCTTTGGTCATACATTAATAATGTCTCTGCACGTCACATTCTTCATCATTTATTCATTCATTTAACAAATATTTATTGAATTCATATTATGTGCCAATTATTTTTCTACTTGCTGGGGATATACTGCTGATAAAAAATCAATAGAGTTCATGATCTCTACATTCTAGTGGGTCTTGGTCAAGACTTGGTCAAATATTCACACTGAGGAGCATAAATCTGCAAGGTATATAATAAATTTTCTAAAGGGAACATTCCTGTAACGGTATTTGTGCGAGGGGAGTAATTTGAGGAAGCGTTTGCTGAGACAGTGATGCTTAGCTGAGATTGCAAGAAAGTGAAAACCACCTTGGGGGAGAGGGAAAGGGAGTAAGACAGGAAAGACTGTTTCCCACAGAAGTGTAAAGGGTGTGCAAATGCCCTGTGGGAGGAGGGAGTGTGGCTTATTGAAGACACTGTGCATCGCTGGGAGCTTGGTGTACGTAGGAGAATGGTGACAGGTAACGCGGTGGCGAAGGGGCAGTGGGGCTCCTCAGACGTCCACTTACTCGTGTGGTACGTACCCCTCCTCCCTTTCAGTGGGGTGAGCTCTGTGGGTGATGCCATATCCGTGCTGAGGGATAAAGCCCCTGCTCAGTTACCTAGGTCCTCTTCCCCTCCTGTGAGGAATTAAACCTTGTGTTGAGATGGCAAAGCCTCCAAAGCTATGTGGCTTGGATGTGACTCACTGTCTGGAGGACAGCTGATCTGGAGGGATGAATGGTTCTGTGGCAAACTTTGAGTAAGTAAAAAATAAAAATCTGCTACGTTAGGCCGCTGACATTTTGGGGTCGTTTATTACTGTAGCACAACAAAGCCTAGCCTGACTGTTACAGATGATGTCTGGCTACGTGGAGCCTTCCAGACCAAATTAATGATTCAGGTCATTTTTCTGAGACCAGTGGGAAGGTACTGAATTATATTAAAAAGAGCAGAAATTATCAGGCATTTTTCTTTGAAAAAAAAATCATTCTGTCATAAATACTTGAAGGAACGACGAGGAGAGTGAAGTTGAGACAGTTCTGGTAACTGTAAGGTCAGCGCTGCTGTTACCGTCCTCGCGGGAACACTGAAGGGTCCCAGTAAGAAAAATTAAACCTGGAGATTTACACAACGCAAACCATCAAGCGAACATTCTGGACTTTTGACTTGAATCTATTGCCCCAGCTCCTGCTTTCTCTTAACCCCAGAAGCCAGCATCTTTGATCAAGCTGCCGTTCTCTGTGTGGTTGTGACCCACATACTGAGAAGTAGTTCTGTGACAGTGGTTGGGCTGCTCTGCCCTGCAGTCAATAGCAATTTGGTGTATATGGATCTGAGAGTGGAACGTTGCTTAATGGGAAAGTCCTCACATGTTTCAGAATCAAGTTTTCAATATGCACCCTTGTTGAGATGCCGGTATGTGTTACTTTAACTGAATCAGAAATAAGATGTTCTCATTTCTTTGTCTTTTGCTAATCAGTGAAAGTTTTGATTGATAAACGCATTTGGATCCTGGCTGAGTAACGTAGTAAACTTTAGAAAATGAGCTTTTTATGATATTTTGTTTTGACCATGTTTCTACGGAGCAAATAATGGAGAATCTTGATTCTGTGCTCTGTGAAGTTAACAAAAAAAAAAAAAAAAGGAGGGACATTAACTCAACAGTGTACAAAAAATAGTATTATTATTTGGTAAATTTGTTTGAGGTGCTCTGTAGGGGGAAGAGGCTGACCAGAAGCAGACACAGCCTCCACCCTCCCTGAGTTCACAGCCCCAGGTAGGGGATTGGACCACTGTAGCTGTCTTTGTTAGTCAAATTTGGTTTTACTAATGAAGGAGAAGTAACCTAACTTGTTGCTGTTTATTAACCATCTAATAGATGGTAGAGCTTGTCGTAGGGCATTTTTAATCATTAAATAATTTAATTTTTAATACTTACCATTTAATTTTTATAATAACAACACAAATTGTCCCCTGTGTGCCAGACAATGTGCTAAGTAAGAGTTTTATATACATTGTTTTAGTGACTCCGTACTACAGCCCTGGGAAAAAGAGGTTATTAACCACATTCCACAGAAGAGGGAGTTCAGGCTCAGAGACAGTGCCTCGATATCTCTAAGACTGTATGTGATACGCAGCCCGTACCCTTGCCTTTTCTTCTGCTACCACGTGTAGCAGTGTCCCTCAGGGTTGTCTCCTCCAATAAGATGTCAAGATGACTTTTAGACTTATATCTAAAACTGTATTCAGCAGGATGCTGTATGGCAGGATGTTATTGGTGTTTTGGAAAGTAAGTTTCCATAAGTGTATCCCCACAAAAAGTTTGGGTACAAGATACAGTTACAATTATCCCTTTACCACTTCCCCTTATAGAAATTATGTTTATCTGTTTTGCATATTTCTAAGAAAAGACATGGTATGCAGCATCTTCTAAAGTTACTTGATTCGTGGGGCATCTCAAGGATACTGCTTTCTTCAGAACACACTTTGGTTTATGTGCTGCCCAGCACACTCTTTGGTCTCCTAAACTTTCTTCTTACTGCCCCACGTCTCACCATGACAGGCTCTGAGTTCAGGATGGTACTGTCCATTGTAGCTGAGGAGAGGTCAGAAAATCCCTGAGGGGAGGGAAGAACTCTTTAGTTACATCCTCTTCAGCCTGGGATGGTAACTCTGTGGCACCTTCCATAGGTGCAAGGATATTTTAAAACCGTCTAAGACTTAACTACTCTCTTCATATCAAATCAAGATTGCAGCAGCAGAAACCATCTATAGCTGATTAATACACCAAACAAATGCACTGAAAGGATATTGAAGAGTTGAGGGAATTACTGAGGAGGCTGTAGAATAGTGTTTGGGACTGTGTCCTGAGCCAGTGCAGAACCAGTTGCGGTAGCACTGGGATCTCAAAGTCCTGGTCCCTGGAGCTTGTCCCATCGGTCCCAAGGCTCAGCTCACTGCGTCGCCAGCAGCTCTGCTGACACTGGTTCCTCAGGGAGCTAGCCCTCCTACCTCTACCACTAGGACAGCAGAATCCCTCCTGGTCCCTGTGGCTGTTGGCTTGGTTCACCCAGTTGATGGAGTTTAACACTGGTGCCTGATTCATGGCTGCAAAGGAGGCTTCAGAAAATAACTGTCTGCCATTTCCATCTTTCATAACGCAGGAGGCAGGTTTTGCCTTACAGTGAACATAGTTCAGAGAACAGACAGCTAAAATGAATGTGTTGACAAATTTATCATTCTGTATATAATTTTCCAGTTTAAAGCACATACTTATGTTGTTTCGGTGAACTGTACTTGACGTTGTAAATTTTTTATGCCCATTTTTGAAAGTGGTAACAGGTAAGAACAGTACTTAGATCAAGATTTGGAACATGATAGGTACTTAATAAGCATTTGATGAATGAGTATCCATAAAATTCAGATACAAACCTGGGGCTATATTGTAGAGTCAGAACTGGGATACAAATGCAAGTCTTACTTCTAGTCTTTGGGGTTTTGATCTCCTCATAGAAACACTATTATACTGACTATTAATTAGTAGTATTTTTTCTACTACTTACAGAAGAATTAAAGATGCCAACATGTTCTAGACATGTGAAAACTGCTAGAGTTCTCAGTGGGGTATGAGCTTATATGGGTAGCATGATTTCCTTACAGTTCTTACTATCTTCAATTCAACAAGATTGAATGAATCACTTATTTTATCACTTGGTTGGCATAGTTAGTTTACTGGTTGTGGAGGGTAGGAAGCAAAGAAACCCCTTGGATTCCATTTAATTAGCACAGAATATCATTTATTGAACGCTGACTTTGTGCATAGCATCTCGCTTTTAGATTTAAAGAGTGACTGCACTAGAGGACAGGTAAGCGTTTTTTTAGAAGGCTCAGGTTGGCATTCCTATCGTAAGCTACCTGAAAAATAAACGTAAATTGGTTACCCAGAAAGTTTTATACATTTTGGACTTTTAAAATTTCCTAGTTATTTCAACTGTCTTGATGGAAGGTAATCGATATAAAGAAATTTAAATAAACAGAACCCTCACAAAACTATGGTATTCTGAATCATTCATCCATGAGGAAAGAATCAAGGCTCTAATTTTAAATGATGCAACAGAAATAAAAACACCATGGGGGACATGCAGTGCAGGTGATAAGGAAGTGTACCCATGCTTTGATGAAAAACAGCCTGGGAAACCCAAACCCCTTCATCTCAGAAACAGCTGTCTCTGTTTCTGAGTGCAAAGCTCCCTGAAGCTCAGGAACACTCCCACTCAGGCTCTTGCTCACAACTCACCAGTATTCCTGTCCTGAAGCCCTCTTCCGAGGCCCAGTACATCTGTGAGTCACATCTGAGCACCCAATGACTTTTCTAGAGAGAAAGAAATAGCCGTTAACAAGTTTGACCTGGAGTGATGTTGTGGATGAGTTAGTGTCACTTCATTTGCTCTCAGTTTTCTTTCTTTTGTGTAATTCTAGATGTTGAGTTGTATTTTCCTTGACAGTTAAAATTTAAAAAATTATGTACCTTTTATGTAGTAAGAGCTAGGTTTTATGTGCATCGGTTCATTTAATCCATATGACAGAGATGAGGGTCAGTGTTCTTACCTTCACTACACAGTTAAGGAGACATGACTAGTGAGTTATGGTGGCATAATCCAGGTCACACGGATAATAAACTCAGAAAGCACAATTTGAATCCAGCTCCACTTGTCACCAAAGGGTTTGTACCCAGATCTGGTTGAATTCAAATGTCAACTTAAAATGTCCCACTGTGATAATAATAACTATTTATTAAGTGAGCATCTATCTATTTTTATCGATCTATTTATATGTAACTACTGTAGTTTGAGAAATGAAGAATGGAAGGGAATAAGTAAGGCTAGTCACTAACATGTGTAATGCACTGTTTTCCTGCCTGGAGATCCTTCTCACATTCATGGCTGAG